TCTGTGTCAAACTCTGTCCATTTGGATTACAACTTATTGTTAACAGGTTTTACTTATAGATATTCTATTTGGTTCTTTACAGAATCTGATTTTTCATATTATTTCTTGATATTATATAATATTCATTTATTTCTTTAAACAGGTGAAAGTGTTCTGTACTTGAGAATTACATTATCTATAGTCTCTGAAGATCTAATTCTGATCCTGTAATACTCAATAGTAGTGATGGGTTTCCTTGTGCGTGCTTTGATTATTTTGGTTATATTTCTTGGGATTTATATCTGGGAATCATTTGCTTCAGCCAGACATCTGGACACATCCAATTCCGAATCAGTTTAAACCAAATTCTTTTTTTTTGAGATTTTTGAATCAAAAAAATAATGAGTAAACTGTGTGTGTGTGCATGCACACATGTGTTTAATAAATCATATTAATAGTAATAAAAAATGTTAACCCCAGTCTCCAAAACTGCTTGGTGGGCCAGATAATGGTAATTTTTTTTCTCCTTCATTTCTTGAAAAATGGTTTGTAGAACAATAATTCTGATGTGGAGTAAGTTAGTAAGCATTGTATTAAAATAAGATAGTGCTTTATTTAGCCAAATAATTTTGGGAAATGTCAGGTAAACAAGTTTTTTTCATCATAGAACTTCTCAGGATATCTTGCATGCAAAACAGGAAGTTTGATGCATAATAGTTAAGCAGAATTTTTCTTTGTCCCACTTTTACTTTCCTTTTGGGGGATGGGAGATATACATGGAACATCTCTTGGGACTAGTGGGACCAGTGGAACATGCTTGCTGCTGGAAGTCTGCCTCCTGATACCCTTGGCTTCTGCTTATTGCTTTCTCACTATCTTCACCTCTGTGTTTATACCACTCATGTATTTAAACTTGCTGAGGGAAGATGTGATTGTATGTGGTAATCTTTATCCTAGAGTAAGATATTGTCTTTGAGTAGAGCTATTGTATGAAGCTATATCATGGGTCATTGGTTAGTATTCTTTGGACCAGTTGGACCAAGTCTCTAGTTATTTCTAGAGAGTTAGATTCATAGGACTTTGTTTTCCCTTGGGGAACTTCCTTTTTATTTTCTGTCATTTGACTGTAAATTTTCCAGGACCATCTATGTCTTATTTATCATTGTTTTCATGATGTCTTAACAAAGGAACTAAAACATATTAGTTGCTGGACCAGTCTGTGTGGAGCCTTTCAGCTTGGCAAGCTCTGGCAGTCATCTGAGAGTGGAACAATATACCTGGCAGGCATAGTGTATGGCTTGTCCATTATGGATGGGACATTTTTTTTCCTCTTACTTTATTCTCCAGTATTTTTGTAGAGAAATTGGCTCCATCAGACTCTAGAAACATCCAAAGTGAAAAAGAAGTTCTTTCAAATATGCTCTTTCTCTGCCTTGTGATGGAAGTAATTTCCTTTCAGATTAATTTCAGATGCCACAGTCTTGGTGAAGCTGTGGTTTTTCTCCGACCCCGTTACTCATCACTTGGTACTTGTATTTTTCAGTACCTGCCCCACGGTATTTCTGCATTTTTATCTTCCAGCCAGACTTAGAGTTCATGGAGGGTGGAGAGGTTGAATGGAAGCTTAAGTAATATCTGTGTGCAGTTAAGATCTAATCAAGCATTTCAAATTCCAGTTTCCTGGAGAAGGGGAGGAGAAAATAGCAGAGAAGCAGTCTAAGCCTCTAGAAGATACTTTGGCATTTGTTGGATGTGGACTAGTGAAAGAACAGTTGCCAACAGGATTCAGCTGGCCGAGTAGGGCACTTGATTTGGCACGGTGAATGTACTGTCTCATTGGGCAAATTTGGCCCTCACAGTGAGCTGTGAGATACTTGTGATTTCCTTTTACAGTTACAGAGACTCAGTGGCTTGCCTATCGTCACGCTTGTGTAGTAACAGTAAAGTGCCTACAGGCTGTTGAATGACCAGGGGACTGGGTCTGACTCCACCCCCTGTGCAGCTGCCTCTGGGCTGCCCAGCACACCACCGCCCAGTTGTGGTGCTGAGCTTTGTGCGTGTTTCCCCCTTAGTCCTTCAGGGGAATTCTGTCCGTGAGAACATGTTTCTATTTTTGAAACTGAAACCAGTGAGAAAGTATGCTTTACTAATAAAGTTTTACTCTGAGCCTGTGTTGGAATATGTTTTCTCTTTCGACTGAGGTAGGTATATTTTCATAGACATTTATTATCTGAAATATCCTTTTTGCCCTAATTTCAAGTTGTGTTATCACAAAATAGTATGACTTTCCTTTTGATTCCGTGACATTTCTTCATGATATCTACAGCTAACTGGTTTCAGTAGTTTGCTCATTTGAAAGTAGTTGTCACATAGAGCAAGACATTTTTAGAAATGATAAGTTTGGGAACTTTATCTGATTGAAGTTCAACTTCTTATATTAGCTTCTGTTGAGTTTTTAGTGTCTTTCTAAATAAGACGATAATCTCTGTTTTATAGTAGATAAAATGTTCCCTGTGAGTCCTTTGTATCTCGTAAATGCATGGGGGATGATGTCCAAGTAGATAGATGTGGACCAAGCTGTAGCTGACTGCTGTCTTTGCCATCTCAGATAAGGAAGGTTCCTAACTACAAAGTGGATGCTGAAATTGTAGCTAAGGTCAGTCACTAGAAGCCTGAAGAGGTGAAATGTCATCTAATTAAAAATAAGTATGTTACATATAGTACACTACACAGTTGAATCAGTAAACATTTTTTGACCACCTGTTTATGATGGGCAGCTTTCTGGTCACTGGGCATTCAGAAGTGAACAATGTTGTTGAAATTCATGTCTGAGAATTCACTAATTCTATCTTAAATTATTGATTATCTCTAAAATATTCTTTGGGGTGCCTGGGTAGCTTAGTCAGTTGAGCGTCCTATTCTTGATTTCCACTCAGGTCATGACCTCAGGGTCACAAGATTGAGCCCTGTGTCGGGCTCCATGCTGAACACGGAACCTGCTTAAGATTCTCTCTCTGCCTCTCCCTCTGTACCCCTTCTCCGCCCATGTACGTGCACATTCTTGCTTTTAAAAAAAAGAAATTCTTTTATTTGCAACCATATCTCTTCACATCTATTCCAGGTTCCTATAAAAAGACCATAGTTTTTACTGTACATTTAAGAAAACCAGCCAACATGCTTTGAGTTCCCTTCTCCTCATAAAATTAATTTAAGATACCTCCAAGCTCAGAATTTTAATTATATAGGTTAATAATTGCATGCAGATCAAATAATGAAATTGAGAGCCTTTCACTGTAAAAGCTTAAGCCAAAAATCTCATGTAAGTGAAATCAGTCACTTTTCATGTTAATAGAGCTCACCAGCTTCTAATGATAAGAGCCAATATGGATTAAGCCCAGTATGCCACCCACACTGTTCTAAGCTCCTTGGATGTCTTATAGCTCACTTAGCACTCAGTGCTCCCATGGTGCCTTCTGTTGCTCCATTTCACAGATGCGCAAATTAAGGCAAGTAGAAGTAAAGTGGCTTTTCCTTGGCCACATAATTTGTAAATGGTCAAGGTACAGTGCTTACTATGTTGAAACAATCTGTCATTTTTTCCTTCTTCCCTCTACTATTTCATGTAATTCTATTCTTCTTTTTTTTTTCCTAAGAAACATTATTATAAAAGGTTCAGTAATGAAAGTTCCAGATTATCCTTTGCATGTCTTTCAGACATGAGTTTTCCACCTCTGCTTCCACAAAGCAGAGAAAGAAAAACCTAGAGAGAAACCAGCCCTTGAGTTTCTCTGAAACTGCCTTTTGCAGTCCCTTATCAGAGTTGTACTTACTTGACATTAAATGTCCTTCATATCTTATTGCCTTGTTTAAGATACATCTGTGAGAGACATTTATTTCCACACAGTGGATGAATGAATGAGTAACCATTTTGAGAGTGTAAGGGCGTTCATCTTGAGGATGAAAATGTCTGAGGGCGGGTTCAGTTTTCGCTTGAGGTCCAATAGCTGCTTATATCGTTCTGGGGTAAGGGGAGGCCTGTTTCTGAGACCTTACAGTTGGGCCTGCCCAGGGTATGCATCTTAATTGGGAATGTCACTGCTTTATGTTTTGTCACCGATTAGACAATGAGCTTTTCTTCTGTGGCTGTTAAAGACTTTTATATCTCTGTGGATAACAGTTTCTTGAAGTATTTTTTTAAAAAGATTTTCTCTATTTATTTGAGTGAGAGAGAGTGCAAGAGAGAGATGGTGGGAGGGGGAGAAGCAGGCTCAGGGAGCCTGAGGTGGGGCTTGATCCCAGGACCCCAAGACCATTACCTGAGTTAAAGACACATGCTTAACTGACTGAGCCACCCAGGGGGCCCCAACAAAACAAAACAAAATACAGCAAACTATTTAAGGCAAAAGTATGTTACATCCTTGGAGACAACTGATTTTATTCTCCCAGTTCTGTTAGTATCTTAAATTTTTTTTAAGTGGTTTAAAGACTGAATGTCTCATCATTATCAAGAGAAAGCTTAACTTGAATTGAAAACAATTTTATTTCTATTCTACCAATATCATGGAACAGAAATCAAACCTAAGTACTGATGGGATAAATGATGTTAGGATACAGTGAAGAGTAGGGCCAAATAATTTTCCGGGGGGAATACCTTGTAGATAGGACATAAGCCACCTTAAGGAATTGAGAGGGGCAGTTTGGACATATTTCTGTACTATTTTAAAATTAAATGAACTCCTAGCACCTTACTTTTTGAGACCTTTTTATATTTTTGTGGAGTAGAAAGTAAAGCATAGAGCATTTGATCATGCTTTCATTCTAGAATTTATGCTTTGTATATATGGTGGGGAGAGGGAGGATTCTAAAGTGAAAAAGTTGTTCATCGCTCTTTTGTATTATAAAAGATTGGGAAACATTTTATATTACACTAAATAATATTATCTGATGTGAAGTCCTTCATTTATAGTATTCATGGAATCTTTAGTGCTTGAAAAGTAAAGATACCTTTTCTTTCCCCTCAGAAACGTGCTAAGGGACAAGTGTTATTTGACAAAGTGTGTGAACATCTCAATCTTCTGGAGAAGGACTACTTTGGACTTCTATTTCAGGAAAGCCCTGAGCAAAAAGTAAGTGAAATAATTCACGTTTATTTGTATCCTCTTAGAAAAATGTATTTTTTTCTTATACAGTATAAAATTTTGCTTTAAAATTTATGACATTTTATATCCATTTTAGAAATTTGGTAAATATAAAAAACCCATGCAGAGAGAATCACCTATAACTTATTGCCCTTGTGTGTATGTTTTTCCACTAATACCATAAGCAGAGAGAATGGAATGTCTTATTCTGTGTTAATTATTAGAGACTGAAAGAACTGATTTAAAAATTTTTATGTTGGATTTTTAGCTCTTGAATTCACCTGTATGGTAGAAATTAAGCATGCCTGGAAAGCAGGGAAGGAAGCAAATGGGAAGGAATGTCGAGTACTGATGTGTACTTACTGGACGCTTGGGAGAGAGCATTTGCCTTGCTGTACAGACTGTCGTGGCTGTGGGGTAAACGCATTCTCTGCCCTGTTGGGTCACGGAGAAGCAAAAAAGGAGGTGAGGTAGACTCAGGTAGTAGACTTGAGCGGTCGGGACCCTGTGTAACTCTGCCTGATATCAAGTGTGTTGAGATTGTTCTGCTCCAGGAATTTCCCAACAGGATCAGACTGCTGTAATGCTTCATGCTGAGCATTAGCATTCCAGGGAGTGTAAGGACTTCTCAGTTTTGTATGTAATTTTAAAGAGAGAACGATTATGGTCAACTGTTTTACCAGAACTATTAAAGAGAGAACTATTAATCCAGTCTGGCAATTAACTAACCTGCAGCCTTCTGTCTTAGTCGACTAGTCTGGGCATTTCTAACGCAGTACCATAGACTGAGTGTTTTATCAACAATGCTGGAAGGCTGGGAAGTCCAAGATCAAGATATGTGCAGGTTCAGTGTCTGGTGAAGGCCCACTTTCTGGTTCATAAGGTAGTGCCTTCTGTGTCCTCACAAGTGGAAGGGATGGGGTCCTCTCTGAGCCTCTTTTATAAGGGGACTACTTACTATTCCTATTCACGAGGCTTCCACCTTCATGACCTCATCACCTCCCAAGGGGCCCCACCTCCAAATATTGTCACAGTGGAGATTAGGTTTCAACTACAAATGGTATGGGCGGCCTCACACATCCATTCAGTCTCTAGCACTTTCTTTCTTCCTTGTTAAGAAAGGACTGTTTCCTCTTTTACTTGACTTTAAGTAATGGGATATAACTGGGGGAGAAGATACTGAGTGTAAGACTGAAGGATAAAGTTTTCATCCTGTTGCACCGTAGAGTGAAGCCCTTTTAGCTCTATTAGACTGAGGTTGTGGAGAGACTCGCTGAGATCGGGCTGAGATCATTACTTTCTTGTATCTAACATTTTTGTCACAGTCAATAGAACAAAATAGCGAGTTGAGGAACGTAGGCAGTGAAGTTTATTTGCCCACATGCTGTCATTGTTTATGTGTCCTGGTAATGAAATACAGGGAATTAAGGGTGATAATTACATATAAATCAAGTTTTCTCAATTTGCTTAGTCTTAAAGCTTTACTACTTAATTGGTGGTTTAATTCCACATTTAAACAAAAGACAATTAAATTGCATGCCTGCCTGCAGAAGAGTATGCAAGTATTCTTATTAGAATTCTGTTTAGAATACTTTTCTCAGAAGTAGTAACATATTAGATATTTGACTAAATAAACTAGGTGCTCCTTTTAGTCATGAAATGAAAACGTGGTTCTTGATAATATTTCTAATCCTCTGCCCTTCTGCTGGTCCTCAAAACTGTCAAAGAGGAAGTGATGGGAATTTGCCTATCATTATCCACTTTTTCCTGAGATTACATATGGGGAGAGTCATAAGAGCATTTAAGCTTTGTGAAAGAGAGAAACCATCTAGCATATTGTAAAATATGAGAAAAACACGTTTTGTTAGTAGAAACAGGATATGCTACATAAAGACATCTGGTATTTCTGCAGCCCTAGATTTACATGTGAAAGAGTGGTATTTAGATAGTAGGATTCACTAGTTTTTATTTTTATAACTTCCAACATATGTGTCTAGTCCGTGTCTTTGACCTGAATCTCAGACTCTTTTTAACTGCCTATTGGACACTGCCCTCAGTTGTCTCAGAGCAAACTGGCATCTTCCCCTTAAACTTCCTCTGTCCCCTGAAGAGTGGATATTGGTCCCTTCCACTCCTTCCACTGCTTATCAGTCAGAGAGGTCTGTATTTTCTACCTACTAACATACCTTGCCTAGTCTTCTTAGTCCACAGTTTTGGCTTTGGTTTAGACCCCTGTCCTCTCTTGCTGTGACGATTTTGTTAGCCTCCTATGTGGATGAATGGTCTGGTCCCTAGCCCCTAGGATCACACTTCACACTGTTGCTACACAGAGTTCTCAGGAGTGCATATGGGATCTTGACACTCCCTGGTTTAGCACCATTGAATGGATCCAATCTGACCCGCTCGGTATGACTGACAAAGCCCTAGTTCATTTGTTTCATTTCTCATTAACCTCCCACATACATACACGCCACACCAAAGTTCTCTCCTAACAAGAGCCCTGTTGGTCTGTACCATATCTGCTTGAACATACTGTTCTTTACATTTGGAACATCCTTTATTTGAATGCCTACTTTAGATTTAAGAACACTGCTCCAGGGGATTCCCCTTGACCGCTTTCCATTACCATTTCTCTTGCTCCCCACTTGAGGAGAATTGACCACTTCTTCCATTTGCTGTTTAGACATTTAGCACAAATCTCATTTGTGTCACCCTTTCTTCCCAGTACTCTAGGAACTTCTTCCCATTACTCGAGGAACTCCACACCCTTTTATTTTTATAGCCTCAGTCTTTCTAGACATTAACAAATATTTATTAAATACTGCCTTTGTGCCATCTTACACCCATTAGGATGACCACTAGCAAAAATATAAAATAAGAAATGTTAGCAAGGATATGAAGAAACTGGGACCCTTGTGCATTGGTAGTGGGAATGTTAAATCATGTAGTTATTGCAGAAAACAGTATAGAGGTCACTCAAAAACTTATAAATAGAACTATATGATCCAGCAATCCTGTTTCTGGGTATATGCCCCAACGAACTGAAAGCAGGATCTTGAAGAGAGATTTGCGCACCCATGTTCATTGCAGCATTACTCACAATAGCCGAGAGGTGGAAGCAAGCCAGTGTCCACCCATGAATGAATCGGATAAACAACATGTGGTAGATACAAAATGTGTTGAATGGAATATTATCGAACCTTAAAGAAGGAGATCCTGTCACATGCTATAACATGGATGAATCCACAGGACATTAAGTGAAACAAGCCAGTCACAAAAAGATGACAAGCACTGTGATTCCATTTATATGAGGTATCCATAGTCAAGCTCGTGGAAGCTGAAAGTAGAACGGTGTTTGCCAGGGACTAGGGCAGGGGGGAAATGGGGAGCTGTAGTTCCATGGGTATAGAGTTTCAACTGTGCAAGATGAAGTTTCAGAATCTGTTGCACATCAATGTGAGTATAGTTAGTATTGCTGAACTATATACTAAAAATTAGTGAAGATGGTAAACTTTAGGTTAAAAATATTCCCTGCATGCGGGGCGCCTGGGTGGCTCAGTGGGTTAAAGCCTCTGCCTTCTCCTCAGGTCGTGATCCCAGGGTTCTGGGATCAAGCCCAGCATTGGGCTCTCTGCTCAGCAGGGAGCCTGCTTCTTCCTCTCTCTCTCTGCCTGCCTCTCTGCCTACTCTCTCTCTGTCAAATAAATGAAATCTTTAAAAAATTAAAAAATAAATAAATAAAATAAATTCCCTGCATGCAAACCAGTGTACTACTGCGAATCCAGCAGTAAATAGTTAAGACAAAGACTGTCTTCACGGATGTCCCCACTATGCTCCAGCTGAGGAGACAGTGAAAAACTAAGCTATATGGTTATCAAAATTTGGTTACCGCTCTATAGGAGAGGGTATTAATGGTGAGGACAGCTAAGAGTGAATGCTGCTTGAGGAAGGAGAGACCTAAAGTGGGTGGGCTTGGGCTACCGGGGGGTGGGATGAGAGGGGGTTGAACAGCACTGCTCACCAAAAGGAGGACATGGCCTCAGTTGAAGTTGTGGTAGCAAAAGACAAATAAAGAATTTCTTTTTAAGATTTATTTATTTCTTTGAGAAAGAGGGAGACAGAGTGAGCAGAGGGAGACAAGCAGACTCCCTGCAGAGTGGGGAGCCTAACATGGGGCTCGATCCCAGGACCCTGAGATCATGACCTGAGCCCAAGCCAAGAGTCATATGCTTCATCAATAGCCACCCAGATCGCCCTAGTCAGATAACGAATTTAAGAGAGATTGAGGAAGGAGGTAAAAGCAATCCGATGACATCACACCAGTAAGGCCTAGATTTTTGGATGAATGGAGATCCCATTTAGTGAGCTGGGGAGGGCCTAGTTAGGGGGATGGAAGGGTATATTATGAGTGTCATTTCAAGACATGTTGACTTTAGGTCAGATAACAACTTTTAGAAGAACAAGTAAATTTTATATATATTTTAAAGAATAAGTGCTAGTATTGCCTGGGTGGCTCAGTCAAGTAAGCATTGACTCTTAATTTTGACTGAGGTCATGGTCTCAGGGTTGTGACATTGAGCCCCACATCAGACTCTGTGCAGGGTGTGGAGCCTGCTTAAGATTCTCTCTCTTCCTCTCCCTCTCTCTCTGTGTCTCCCCACCTCTCTCTCTCTCTCTCTCTCTCTCTCTTTTTTTTTTTTTTAAAGTGGGTTCTGGCATGGAAGAAATTCTCCAGGTGAAACTCCAGAGTTCAGTGTGGTGGTTTTATTTCTGGACGGGAATATCCTATTTATATTGAGGCTCCAAGTTAGGCATACTTTTTTTAACTTCATTTTAGAATTAGAAAGTGACATAAAAAATATTCCGAATGGGGGTCAGGGTGGCTCATTTAGTTAAACATCTGACTCCTGTCTCAGCTCAGCTCTTGATCTCAGGGTTGTGAATTTGTGAGCTCCATGTCTAAACAAAAGAAACATGACTATTAATAG